AGAGGGGCAACATTTCACTTTTCAGGAACTTTGTCAAGCTGATACAAACAATACTTGGACACAGAGGGTATATATAGGCTTTGAGTGAGGTGTAGTACAAGTAGAGGTAGTAGTAGTTGTAGTTGTTCTTATGTTCTTATACATGTGGTGGAAAGGCTGTGGGTAGGGGTAGTTTTGATAAGGATCTGCCTTGTATGGGCCAATAGGCCTTCTGCAGTGTTCCTCCATTCTTATGTTCTTATTACCACGGTTATTTCAACATTTCATGAATGTTAGTTCTCACCTGTTCATATAACTTGGTTCATGAACATGATTGATATCACCAATAAGCAAAAGTAAAGCTCAAAATATGATAATTACCTGACCCTTTGACTGTTTAACCCAGCCACATATACACCACCTGGACCAAACTCACTGGCAGGCGGTGCAGCAGACACAGGATGTTATGTCACTGATGACTGATCATAGTGATGCCAGGGCGATTAAGGGTTTTTCCAAAACATCATAAATAAAATTATCGATTTATCGTAGTTTATTATATAGCGTCATTGATTTTCCCTATTTTTTTTTTTTTCAACAAGTTGGCCGTCTCCCACCGAGGCAGGGTGACTCAAAAAGAAAGAAAATCCCCAAAAAGAAAATACTTTCATCATCATTCAACACTTTCACCTCACGCACATAATCACTGTTTTTGCATAGGTGCTCAGAACACAACAGTTTAGAAGCATATACATGTACATATAAAGATACACAACATATCCCTCCAAACTGCTAATATCCCAAAACCCCTCCTTTAGAGTGCAGGCATTGTACTTCCCATTTCCAGGACTCAAGTCCGGCTATATAAAAATAACCGGTTTCCCTTAATCCCTTCACTAAATATTACCCTGCTCACACTCCAACAGATCGTCGGGGCCCAAATACCATTCGTCTCCATTCACTCCTATCGAACACGCCCATGCACGCCTGCTGGAAGTCCAAGCCCCTCACCCACAAAACCTCCCTTACCCCTTCCTTCCAACCTTTTCGAGGACGACCCTTACCCCGCCTTCCTTCTCCTACAGATTTAAATGCCCTCCATGTCATTCTACTTTGATCCATTCTCTCTAAATGACCAAACCACCTCAACAACCCCTCTTCAGCCCTCTGACTAATACTTTTATTAACTCCACACCTTCTCCTAATTTCCACACTCCAAATTTTCTGCATAATATTTACACCACACATTGCCCTTAGACAGGACATCTCCACTGCCTCCAACCGCCTCCTCGCTGCTGCATTCACAACCCAAGCTTCACACCCATATAAGAGTGTTGGTACTACTATACTTTCATACATTCCCTTCTTTGCCTCCATAGATAATGTTTTTTGACTCCACATATACCTCAATACGCCACTCACCTTTTTTCCTTCATCAATTCTATGATTAACCTCTTCCTTCATAAATCCATCCACCGACATGTCAACTCCCAAGTATCTGAAAACATTCACTTCTTCCATACTCCTCCTCCCCAATTTGATATCCAATTTTTCTTTATCTAAATCATTTGATACCCTCATCACCTTACTCTTTTCTATGTTCACTTTCAACTTTATACCTTTACACACACTCCCAAACTCATCCACTAACCTTTGCAATTTTTCTTTAGAATGTCCCATAAGCACAATATCATCAGCAAAAAGTAACTGTGTCACTTCTCATTTTGTATTTGATGTCCCATAATTTAATCCCACCCCTCTCCCAAACACCCTAACATTTACTTCTTTTACAACCCCATCTATAAATATATTAAACAACCATGGTGACATTACACATCCCTGTCTAAGACCTACTTTTACCGGGAAGTAGTCTCCCTATATAGGCCTATTTGTACTATGTAATCATATAATAGGCTATATAGAAACAAAAGATTTTTCTCTTATGTTGCTGCAGCACTGCCTAGTATGTGCCAACAGGCCTGCTGCAGTGTTCCTCCTTTCTTATGTTCTTAGTGTCACCTTCTTTAGAGCCTCTTTGGTGTCACCCTGGGTGCCCCCCCCCCTGCCCCCCATAATGACGCCTCTGCATACATTTATTAAATAAAAGCACTAACCACTCCAAAACTATATCCCCTCTTGCTTTTAACATTTCTATCTTTATCCCATCAATCCCAGCTGCTTTACCCCCTTTCATTCTACCCACTGCCCCATGCACTTCCTCCACACAACTGATTCTTCCTCACTCCTGTAAGATGTTATTTCTCCTTGCCTTATACACAAAATCACAGCTTCCCTCAAAATATTCCCTCCAATCTTCCCAATACCTCTAACTCTCCATTTAATAACTCTCCTCTTCTATTTTTAACTAACAATTCCATTTGTTCCCTAGGCTTTCTTAACTTATTAATCTCACTCCAAAACTTTTTCTTATTTTCAACAGAATTTGTTGATAACATCTCACCCATTCTCTCATTTGCTCTCTTTTTACATTGCTTCACCACTCTCTTAAACTTTCTTTTTCTTTCCATATACTCCTCCCTCCTTGCATCACTTCTACTTTGTAAAAACCTCTCATATGCTAACTTTTTCTCCCTTACTACTCTCTTTACATCATCATTGCACCAATTGCTATTCTTCCCTCCCGCACCCACTTTCCTGTAACCACAAACTTCTGCTGAATGCTCTTAACACTATATTCCTAAACCTATGCCATACATCTTCAACCCCATTGCCTATACTCACACTAGCCCATCCATCCTCCAATAGTTGTTTATATCTTACCCTAACTTCTTCCTCCTTTAGTTTATAAACTTTCACCTCTCTCTTACTTGCTGCTTCCATTTTCCTTGTATTCCATCTACCTTTTACTTTCACTGTAGCTACAACTAAAAAGTGATCTGATATATCTGTGGCCCCTCTATAAACATGTACATTCTGAAGACTACCCAACAGTCTTTTGTCTGTCAATATGTAGTCCAGCAGACTAATGTCATTATGCCCTATATCATATCTTGTATACTTATCTATCCTCTTTTTTCTTAAAATATGTGTTACCTATAACCAAGCCCCTTTCTATACAAAGTTCAGTCAAATGGTCCCTATTATCATTTACACCTGGCACCCCAAACTTACATACCACACCCTCTCTAAATGCTTCTCCTATTTTAGCATTTATGTCCCCTACCACAATTACTCTGTCACCTGGTTCAAAAGTTCCTACACACTCGCTTAACATTCTCTCTCTCTCTCTCTCTCTCTCCTCTCTCTCTCTCTCTCCTCTCTCTCTCTCTCTCTCTCTCTCTCTCTCTCTCTCTCTCTCTCTCTCTCTCTTTCTCTCTCTCTCTCTCTCTCCTTCTTCTTTTCCTCCTCCTCCTCCTCCTCCTCCTCAGGTGCATACACACTTATTATGACCCCTTTTCACATCCAACCCTTATTTTAATCTGCATAACCCTTGAATTTATACATTTATATTCCCTCTTCTCTCTCCATAACTGATCCTTCAACATTATTGTTACCCTTCCTTAGCTCTAACTCTCTCAGACACTTCTAACTTTATCCCATTTATTTTTTCCCACTGAAACTCTCCTGTTAAAAGTACCTCATTAAAAAGCAGTTGCCACTCAGGGCCATTTTACTTATGGATAATGCTCCTGCTTACCCTCCAAGCTTGGAAAATGAGTTGCTGGGGTAGTTAAGTTTTATAACTGTGAAGTTCTTGCCTCCTAACACCACTCCTTTCATCCAGCCCATGACCAGCAGGTCATTTCTAACTTCAAGATACAACTCCAAAGCACCTTTTGAAAGGTGCTTTGAAGTCAATTCAGAAACAAGTTTAACCCTCAGGGAGTTCTGGAAGGATCATTTCAATATCCTCACCTGCTTGAGGCTTATAGTCAAAGCCTGGGGTAATGTGTCTTCCAGGACCATGCAGTAAGCATGGAAGAAATTGTGTCCTGACTTTGTGGCAGCCAGGGATTTTGAAGGCTTTGAAGATTAGCCTGAGCCAGTAAAGGATATTGTGTCCCTGGGGAAGACCTTGGGTCTAGAGGTGACTGTAGATGATGTGTAGGAGTTGGTGGAGGAGCATAGAACTGAACTCACTACAAAAGAACTTTTAGACCTTCAGAAGCAGCAGCAACAGATTGCAGTGGAGGAGCTGTCATCTGAGGAAGAGGAGGGAAGGGATGATGTGCCCATTACACTTGTCCAGGAAATGTTTGCTAAATGGCATGAAGTGCAAGAATTCGTTGAAAAATACTATCCAGACAAAGCAGTGGCCATCCATCTCTCTAACATGTACAACAACAGTGTAATGTCTCAGTTTACACAAGTGTTAAAACAGAGCCTGAAACAAACCTCAATGGACAGGTTTTTAGTGAGACAAAGAACCAGTGAGCCAGAACAAGGTGTTAGTGGTGAAAAGAGAAAGAGAAACAATGCCAGGAGAGTTGTCTGACATATTAATAGAGGTGACTCTCCTTCCAAGTACTAACATACCCCCCTCCTCTCCTCCACCTCCTGCTTCCAGTATGCCATTAGCTCTCCTCTGACAGGTAAGAAGCAGTTAAATTTTCATTTGCTGTACAGTATTTCAGTTAAAGTTTCTTTTAGTATTAATTTTTACAATTTTATGTAGTTAGTACATTTTTCATAAATTATTATATTGTCATTTGGGGTCTGGAACAGATTAATTCTATTTACATTATTCTTTATGGGAAAAAAACTGCTTTGGTTGTTGTCCAATTTGGTTGTTGAATTGACATCTGGAATGAATTAAATTCGACAACTGAGATTCCACTGTATAATAACATCTAAAGCATCATGTCTGCACACCTCTGGCAAGACAGGGATAGTGTGAACGATGGTGTGTTTCTTTTTTTGGGTCACCCTGCCTCAGTGGGGGATGGCCAGCGTGTTAAAAGAAAAAACAACAATTATGTAGAATAATCCTCTTTCTTGTCTCAGACTAGCACACTGCATAAAACAGTAATGCTCTCACTAATACCTCACCTTACCCCTAGGATGTGATCACTGACCTTAATGCAGAGAGTGAGCCTCTTCCCATGGATGCTATTAAAGAGGACTGGCTTGGACACAAGGTATGATTTATTGATCACTATACATTGATGTCAGTTTCTTGCATATTAGTAATGCCTTCATTAACATTATTCAGTGGAATGAAATTTGCTTTTTATGCAAGAGCTGCATAACTAAAAATGCCATATGTGAAGATGAGTGGAGATCAGTTACTGCAAAAAAAAAGTATTTGAATGAAAATTATCACAATTAAACAGTGAAGTGGTAATGGCTTAGTGCTATAAAGCAAGAGTTGAATGACCCACATGGGTTTAGTGCTTTCCATGACTGTAATAATAATATGATGAAAAGAAAAATAGTTTTAATATTGCATCCCTCCTATTCACTTTTTTATAAAGAACTTAATGAGATTTCCCATTACAATATATCTGATCCAAAATTTGTACCTGTACTGTTGCTGTGAAACTCTAAACTCAACAACAAGTAACCATCTCAGACCACTAATTACCCAACAAAAGGCTGCAGTTAGAATGATAACAAATTCTCACTACAGGCAGCACACTCCACCAATATTCAATACACTCAACCTACTCACCATACAAAACATCCATACTTATTACTGCACTATTACATACATAGAACACTCAACTCTGATATTAACCCTCCCCTCAAACATCTCCTTGCCAACCTCAACAGAACACATGACCATAACACAAGGCACAGATCACTCTTTGATATTCCTCGTGTCCATCTCACGCTATGCAAAAACTCAATGCACATAAAAGGCCCTAAAATCTGGAATTCATTACCTGTAAATATAAAGAAACACTACCTGTTTATAAATTCAAGTCTCTTCTCAAAGATCACTTACTCACCCAAAACCAAATAAATACTGAATAACTGAACCTTATAAATTGTATATCTTAAATGTTTCTCACGATTATATCACATAAATGTTAAACCTAAAACCCAATCTAACTTTATTATTTTTTAAATACACTACCTAACAGAATACTCCATTCTACTGAATTTACAACAATGCATGCAACCATATGACCTGTCTTTGTAATACTCACTTGTGCTTTATAGTAATCTGTTTACATTAATGTTTTTCACTGATTTCATCATTGCTTAGTTAATCTTAAGTTAATTTTAAGCCAGCCCGTAATGCTATGCATAGTATAAGTGGCTTTAGCATGCTGCTCTTATCTGTATTTTTTTGTACCTCTGTATGTGTGCTCAAATTATAAATAAATAAATAAATAAATAAATAAATAAATAAATGTCATGTAGACTAAACATTTTCATTTAAACAGCATTAACAGTGCTATTTAGTTATTATTATATACAGTACATTTTACTAATTATACTTACTGCATGGTATCAATATCTGCTTTTAAGACAATATAGTCTTTTTTTACATAATATTACCAATAAAGGACCATATCAGTACATATAATTAAAGTATCTCTTATCAACATAATTCTTAGCCTTAAGACTTACCTGAAATGCTGCATGTAATGAGTACAATTTTTTAAATATTATATAATATTAGTATTACTTTTTTTATTCTTCATCTCCCAGGGTATGGTATCTGCTGCTGAATATATACGTCGCAAAATTCGTGAAGACAATATTTTAACACGTGCTTTTGGTTTTGACACGAGTCGTGGCACGCAGACGTACGACCTGGTATTAGTAGGTCATTCATTAGGTGCTGGCACTGCAGCCATTCTTGCCATCCTCCTCAAGCAAGAGCACCCAAATCTCAGCTGTTTTGCATATTCTCCACCTGGAGGGCTTCTCAGGTGATAGTCAAACTATTTATTTTTTAATGCATAAGACATTAGCAAAAAACAAAGTGTGACGTGCTTCATTGATTGCTTTGTGCACAGAGAAATCTTGATAAGTTAATCTTGAATAAATTATGTACTACTCTAATACTATAGAAATTAAACTGGTTCTTTTTTTATAATAAAAATTTATTATTAATAAAGCTAAATTATTCTTCTTCTTTCAACAAACTAGCTGTATCCCACCGAGGAAAGCTAAATTCATCATAGATAAATATATTTTGTTACAGCATGCCAGCAGTAGAGTATACCCGAGCCTTTATAACATCAGTTGTTGTAGGAAAAGATGTTGTTCCAAGAATTGGCCTCCATCAAATGGAATCTATGAGAGCTGATCTCATTAATGCCATCCAACGATCCAAGGATCCTAAGGTAAGGCCACAGTGATCAGTTACAGCATCACAATGGGAAATGTCACTGACTAATGTATTGTTAAACTTTGGCTTGTTGTGTATGGGGCTATCTGTTTATAAACTTCTTTGCTCAATTGTCTTGGTTGGTTGTGAGCCACAAGATTGGCAGTAAATGCATGCTATTCTTAGATCACGAATCTCAACCACAAAACATGTAGCATCCTCTTTTGCTGGAAATAATGGAAGGTTGTTGCTACTCACTGCATCAAATATTTAATGTGGGTAAAAATGGATGCCTTTATTTGAGTGGAAGTAGCATTTTCTTTACTAAGCTAAGACATGTAGAATTCTGAACATTAAAATGGTATAAAATACCAACAGGTTGTTAGGTAAGACACACATGCAACAGTTAGGTATCTTTATTTCGAAACGTTTCGCCTACACAGTAGGCTTCTTCAGTCGAGTACAGAAAAGTTGATAGAAGCAGAAGAGACTTGAAGACGATGTAATCAGTCCATCACCCTTAAAGTTTTGAGGTGGTCAGTCCCTCAGTCTAGAGAAGAGCATTGTTTCATAGTCTGAAACGATATGGAGTTGAAGTGACAGGATGGAGCCTTATATAGTGCCAGGAGGTGAGACGTATGCATGTGTGTCTTACCTAACATGTAGAATTCTATTTTGCTGGCAATAATAAAAGAAGATAGCTACACACTTCCGCAGATGCTCATTGTAGTCAGGGGATAATTTATTTGAATGGCAACAGTGTAGCCGATACGTATCACGGTAGTGGCTGCTTGTCACCACTCTCACATGACATTTTCCCATCAGACCATGATAAACAACATTCTGCTGTGTGGTTGGTGAGTGTTAGAGGTTTAAGGCACAACTGTTTTAAACATTATTGTTAATTAAATACATTTAATGTGTACCACATTGTTTAGCAGGCAATAAACAAAGTTTTAGGGACAAGCATTTGGTGTTTTAAATAAATTTGAATTCATTTAACCCTTTGAGGGTTTCGGCCGTACTAGTACGGCTTACGACCCAGGGTTTTTGACATACTAGTACGCCTAAATTCTAGCGCCCTCAAATCTGGTGAGAGAAAGCTGGTAGGCATACATATGAAAGAATGGGTCTATGTGGTCAGTGTGTGCAGTATGAAAAAAAATCCTGCAGCACACAGTGCATAATGAGAAAAAAAAAACTTGACCGTGTTTTTGGAATAAAACAGCGAATTTGCACTGTATTTTCGTATGGTATTTATTGTTGTATTTTACTTTTCTTGGTCTCATTTTATAGAATGAAGACATATTACAAAAATTGAGATGATTTTGACTGGTTTTACAATGAAAAGTACCTTGAAATTGAGCGCAAAGTAGCAGAAATGTTCGATTTTTATCAAAGTTCAAAGGTAAACAAATCATGCCAAGTGTCCAATACACGTCAACTGGTGAGTCTAATATTCTTTCACAAGTACGCTGATATTATTTATACCATTTCTACACTAATGCAGCAGTCTGCATAACAGTAAATCTTCTATTTTTTGTAATAATAAAAATTCAAAGTGGAAAGTCAAAGAAATATAAGAGGAGCCTGGGGATATGACTAACAAACAGAGAACTTGTTATTTTAGTGCCAGGAATGTCTTTCTTGTTTATTCTGGGCCCTATTCCGAAATTGGCATCTTTTGAAATTTGTGTGAAATTGGCAAAATTGCTAAATTCTGACCACTTTATTGGATAGTTGAAATTGGTAAATGGGTGGTTTCTTGTACTCATTCGATAGAAAAAATGGAGTTCTAGCGAAATAGTTATGATTTTTGTCGACTAGTACATTGGAATTGGCCGAAAATGGGGCTCAAATTGGGCAAAATCGCCGATGCGTAAACATCGTCGAGACCTCTAAATTCGCGAGAGCATAATTCCGTAAGTTTTCCATCAAATTTCATACTTTTGGTGTCATTATGATCGGGAAAAGATTCTCTATCTTTTCATAAGAAAAAATAATTTTTTTTTTTTTTTTTAAATTTGGCCGACGCTAAGAAAAAGATTCGGAGAGGGCCTGTTGACCCTCAAAGGGTTAATGGTTTTTGACGGAATTATATAAATCACTCAGCAATACCCCACTTAACATGGGATTTCAGGCACACAACCCCCATAGTTCAATGAAACTTCCCTGTACTCAAGATACTAACTCGAGGTAAAAGCACACTTCACCTTTTATATGTGCTTGGGTATGTTTTTTTTTTTAATTGCATTTTTGTTTGATTGTAAAAATTTTTTTTTTTTCCAACAAGTCGGCTGTCTCCCACCGAGGCAGGGTGACCCAAAAAGAAAGAAAATCCCCAAAAAGAAAATACTTTCATCATTCAACACTTTCACCTCACTCACACATAATCACTGTTTTTGCAGAGGTGCCCAGAATGCAACAGTTTAGAAGTATATACGTATAAAAATACACAAGATATCCCTCCAAACTGCCAATATCTCAAACCCCTCCTTTAGAGTGCAGGCATTGCACTTCCCATTTCCAGGACTCAAGTCCGGTTATATAAAAAAACCCGGGTTTCCCTGAATCCCTTCAATAATATTACCGGCTCACACTCCAACAGCTCGTAAAGGTCCCCAATACATTTGCTCCATTCACTCCGTCTAACACGCTCACGCACGCTTGCTGGAAGTCCAAAACCCCTCGCCCACAAATCTCCTTTACCTCCTCCCTCCAACCTTTTCGAGGATGCCCCCTTTACCCCCCCTTCCTTTCCCCCTACGGATTTATACGCTCTCCATGTCATTCTACTTTGATCCATTCTCTCTAAATGACCAAACCACCTCAACAAACCCTCTTCAGCCTCTGACTAATACTTTTATTAACTCCATACCTTCTCCTAATTTCCACACTCCGAATTTTCTGCATGATATTTAACCACAACGTTGCCCTTAGACAGGACATCCCCCACTGCTTCCAACTGCCTCCTCGCTGCAGGATTTACAACCCCAAAGCTTCACACCCATATAGGAGTGTTGGTACCACTATACTTTCATACATTCCCTTCTTTGCCTCCATAGATAACATTTTTGCCTCCACATATACCTCAATGCCCACTCACCTTTTTTCCTTCATAAAATTCTATGATTAACTTCATCCTTCATAAATCCATCCACTGAACTTTCAATCCCAAATATCTGAAAACATTCACTTCTTCCATTTTCCCCCTCCCCAATTTGATACCCAAATTTTTTTCTTTATCTAAATCATTTGATACTCTCATCACCTTACTCTTTTCTATGTTCACTTTCAACTTACTACCTTTACACACACTCTCAAATTCATTCACTAACCTTTGCAGTTTTTCTTTAGAATGTCCTGTAAGCACAGTATCATCAGCAAAAGTACTGTGTCAATTCCCATTTTGTATTTAATTCCCATAATTTAAAACCCCACCCCTCTCCCGAAACACCCTAGCATTTACTTCTTTTACAAACCCATCTATAAAAATATTAAAACAACCAGGTGACATTACACATCCCTGTCTAAGACCTACTTTTACCAGGAAATAGTCTCTCTCTCTTCTACACACCCTAACCTGAGCCTCACTATCCTCATAAAAACTCTTTACAGCATTTAGTAACTTACCACCTATTCCATATATACTTGCAACATCTGCCACATTGCTTCCCTATCCACTCTATTTATGCCTTTTCTAAATCCATAAATGCAATAAAAACTTCCCTACCTTTATCTAAATACTGCTCACTTTTGCTTCAATGTAAACGCTTGATCAAAAACATCCCTACCCACTCTAAAACCTCCTTGCTCATCCCCAATTCTACATTCTGTCTTACCTCTAATTCTTTCAATAATAACCCTACGTTTCACTTTCCTGGTTACTCAGTAAACTTATTCCTCTATAATTTTTTCAATCTCTTTTGTCCCCCTTCCCTTTATATAAAGGGACTATACACGCTCTCCCCCCCAATCCCTAGGTACCTCCCTCTTTCATACATTTATTAAACAAAAATACCAACCATTCCCAAAACTATCTCCACCCCTGCTTTTAACATTTCTGTCTGATCCCTCGTTCCCGCTGCTTAACCCCTTTTCATTCTATGTAATGCATCACGCACCTCCCCCACACTCACATCCTGCTCTTTTCACTCCTAAAAGATGGTATACCTCCCTGGCCAGTGGGAGAAAATTACCGCCTCCCTTTCTTCGTCAAAATTTAAAAGTTTCCCCAAAAATTTCTCGCCCTCTACCCAATATCTCCATCTCCCCATCTGCAACTCCCCTACTCTGTTTTTAACTGACAAATCCATTTGTTTCCTAGGCTTTCTTAACTTGTTTAAATCACTCCAAAATTTTTCCTTATTTTCTTTAAAATTTCTTGACGGTGCCTCTCCCACTCTATCATCTGTTCTCCTTTTGCACTCTCTCACACTCTCTTCACCTTTCTTTTACTCTCCATATACTCTGCTCTTCTTATATCACTTCTGCTTTGTAAATACCTCTCATAAGCTACCTTTTTCTCTTTTATCACACCCTTTACTTCATCATTCCACCAATCACTCCTCTTTCCTCCTGCACCCACCCTCCTATAACCACAAGCTTCTGCCCCACATTCTATTACTGCATTTTTAAAACTATTCCAACCCTCTTCAACCCCCACTACTCATACCTGCACCAGCCCACCTTTCTGCCAATAGTTTCTTATATTTTGCCCGAAGATCCTCCTCCCTTAGTTTATACACTTTCACCTCCCTCTTACTTGTTGTTGCCATTTTCCTCTTATCCTCTCTACCTCTTACTCTAACTGTAGCTACAACTAGGGGTTAGTAACCCCTTCTCCCATATAAATTACTAAATTTGAAAGAAACTTTTGTTTTTCTTTTTGGGCCACCCTGCCTTGGTGGGATATGGCCGGTGTGTTGAATGAAAGAAAGATATTAGGTGCCCCTCTATAAACATGTACATCCTGGAGCCTGCCCATCAACCTTTTATCCACCAATACATAATCTAACAGACTACTTTCATTATGTGCTACATCATACCGTGTGTATTTATTTATCCTCTTTTTCATAAAATATGTATTATTACCAAACCTCTTTCTACCATGCTCAATTAAAGGCCCCCCATTTTCTTTACCCCTGGACCCCAAATTTCCTACTACTCCCTCCACAACATTTTTCCCACTTTAGCTTAAAACCCCCCAACCACAAGTGCTCTCACATTGGTTCAAAACCCCCCACGCATTCACTCAACTTTTCCCCAAAATCCTCTTTTCCCTCTTATACTTCTCTCAGTTTTATTTTTTTTAAAGAGTAAAGTATTACAATAAATTTGGGGGGAAACGAATGTAGAAAAGGGCCCAAAATTTATTCTTACGTTTTAGTTAAATAGCTTTTTTCTTCTTTTTTCTTCTATTGTCCCTGGGGAAGTGGAAAAGAAATTTTTTGAAGCCAAAGGGGAAGGGGGAAAAATGGGAGAAACTGTAACCCCCCTTCCCAACAAAAAAAAAAAGAAAAAAAACTTTATAAAACGGGAGAAAAGGGTGGTGTGTGGGATGAAAAAACGAGGTGTGTTTTTGAAAAAAGGGGTTGTTTTTTAAAAAAAAAAAAAAGGTTTTTAAAAAAAAAAATATTAAATTTTTATAACTAAATTTTTACAAAATAACTAAATTTTAAAACATTTTTGGGGGAAAAAAAATTAATTTTTAAAATTAAAAAATTATTTTAAATAAATTATCTTCTTTAAAATTTAAAATAAAAAATCAAAAAAATTTTAAAAAAAAACCCCAAAAAAAAAACCTAATTTTTAAAAAAAATTTTGAGAGGGGGGTTTTGTAAAATTTTTGGGGGCTTAAAAGTTTGGGGTTTGTTTAAATTTTTTTAAAAAGGGGGTTTTTTTTAGGAAATACTTTTATTTTAAGAAAAAAGAGGTAAAAAAGTATACAAGATATGTGTTGGGAAAAAAATGCAGTAGTTTTTTGGTTATGTTTGGTAGATAAAAGACTTTTGAGTAGACTTCAGGATGTACTGTTTATAGGGGGGGCCACAGATATTAGTCATTTTCTAGTTGTAGCAACTGAGAGAAAAAGGTAGATGGGATACAAGGAAAATAGAAGCATCGGGAAGAAGAGGTGAAGGTTTAAAAATAAAAGAGGAGGCAGTTAGGGTAAGATATAAACAGCTATTGGGGGAAATAGATGGGCTAATGAGAGTTAGGCAATGGGGTCGAAAGGGGGTATGGGGTAGGTTTAAAAATGTAGTTTAGAGTGTTCAGCAGAATTTTGTGGTTACGGAAAGTGGGTGCGGGAAGGGAAGAGGGCGTTTGGTGGAAAAGATGATGTAAAGAGAGTAGTAAGGGAGGAAAAAAAGTTAGCATATGAGAAGTTTTTAAAAATTTAAAAGTGATGAAGGGGGAAGAGTTATGGAAAAAGAGAGGGGTTTTAAGAGAGTGGTGAAGCAATGTAAAAAGGGCAAAGGAGGAGTGGGTGAGATGTTATCAACAAATTTTGTTGAAAATAAAAAAAAAGTTTTGGAGTGAGATTAAAAAGTTAAGAAAACCTAGAGAACAAATGGATTTGTCAGTTAAAAATAGGGAGGGGGAGTTATTAAATGGGGAGAGTTAGAGGTATGGGAAGATGGAGGGGAAAATTTTGGGAAAGTTAAATGTTGATGAGATAGGAAGCTGTGATTTTGGTATAGGGCAAGGGGAATAAAAACTTGAGGAGTGAGGAAGAGCCGTTGTGAGTGTGGGGGAATTTGGAGGCGTAGGTAAAATGAAAGGGGGGAAGGCAGTGGGATTGATGGGGTAAAGAAGAAATGTTAAAAACAGGTGGGGAATAGTTTTGGATGGTTGGTGCAATTATTTTTAAATGTTGGAAAGGGTAAGGTTTTCCCAGGGATTGGGAGAGAGCATGCATGTTTCCCTTGTTAAAAGGCAAAGGGGATTTTTAAAAAAGAGTGCAAAAAAATTTTAGGGGTAAGTTGTTGGTATACCCGGTAAAGTGTTGGTAGAGTTATAATTTTAAGAATTAAGAGTAAGACGGAAAAAAGGATAGCAGATGAACAAGGAGGCTTTAGGAAAGGTAGGGGGTGTGTGGACCAGGTGTTTACATTTGAAACATATAAGTGAACAGTATTTAGATAAGGCTAAAGAGGTCTTTGTGGCATTTATGGATTTGGAAAAGGCGTATGACGGGGTGGATAGGGGGGCAATGTGGCAGATGTTGCAAGTGTATGGTGTAGGAGGTAGGTTACTGAAGCAGTGAAGAGTTTTTACGAGGATAGTGAGGCTCAAGTTAGAGTATGTAGGAAAGAGGGAAATTTTTTCCCAGTAAAAGTAGGCCTTAGACAAGGATGTGTGATGTCACCATGGTTGTTTAAAATATTTATAGATGGGGTTGTAAGAGAAGTAAATGCGAGGGTCTTGGCAAGAGGCGTGGAGTTTTTTTTATTTATTTTATTTATTTATTTCCAATTTGTGCACACATACAGAGGTACAAAAAATACGGTAAAAGCGATGCCAAAGCACTTAAAAATTATGCATAGCATTACGGGCTGGCTTAAAATTAACTAAGATTAACTAGCAATGATAATTATTATTATTTTAATCAAAAAGGGAAGCGAAGCACAAGGACTTTACAGCGCTGCTACTAAGCAATGATGAAATCAGTGATAAAACATTAATGTAAACAGATAACTATAAAGCACAAGTGAGTATTACAAAGACAGGTCATATGGTTGCATTCAGTTAGGTAGTGATTCTGTTTGGTAGTGTATTTAAAAAATAATAAAGTTAGATTGGGTTTTAGGTTTAACATTTAAAAAAGATAAAGAATCACACACAAAGTGGGAGTTGTCACAGCTGCTCTTTGCTGATGACACTGTGCTCTTGGGAGATTCTGAAGAGAAGTTGCAGAGATTGGTGGATGAATTTGGTTAGGGTGTGTAAAAGAAGAAAATTAAAGGTGAATACAGAAAAGAGTAAGGTTATGAGGATAACAAAAAGATTAGGTGATGAAAGATTGAATATCAGATTGGAGGGAGAGAGTATGGAGGAGGTGAACGTATTCATATATTTGGGAGTGGACGTGTCAGCAGATGGGTCTATGAAAGATGAGGTGAATCATAGAATTGATGAGGAAAAAAGAGTGAGTGGTGCACTTAGGAGTCTGTGGAGACAAAGAACTTTGTCCTTGGAGGCAAAGAGGGGAATGTATGAGAGTATAGTTTTACCAACGCTCTTATATGGGTGTGAAGCATGGGTGATGAATGTTGCAGCGAGGAGAAGGCTGGAGGCAGTAGAGATGTCATGTCTGAGGGCAATGTGTGGTGTGAATATAATGCAGAGAATTCGTAGTTTGGAAGTTAGGAGGAGGTGCGGGATTACCAAAACTGTTGTCCACAGGGCTGAGGAAGGGTTGTTGAGGTGGTTCGGACATGTAGAGAGAATGGAGCGAAACAGAATGACTTCAAGAGTGTATCAGTCTGTAGTGGAAGGAAGGCGGGGTAGGGGTCGGCCTAGGAAAGGTTGGAGGGAGGGGGTAAAGGAGGTTTTGTGTGCGAGGGGCTTGGACTTCCAGCAGGCATGCGTGAGCGTGTTTGATAGGAGTGAATGGAGACAAATGGTTTTTAATACTTGACGTGCTGTTGGAGTGTGAGCAAAGTAACATTTATGAAGGGATTCAGGGAAACCGCAGGCCGGACTTGAGTCCTGGAGATGGGAAATACAGTGCCTGCACTCTGAAGGAGGGGTGTTAATGTTGCAGTTTAAAAACTGTAGTGTAAAGCACCCTTCTGGCAAGACAGTGATGGAGTGAATGATGGTGAAAGTTTTTCTTTTTCGGGCCACCCTGCCTTGGTGGGAATCGGCCAGTGTGATAATAAAAAAAAAAAAAAATAGTTTTAGTCTTTCCTGAAAATTTGTGGATAAATTTTGATTTCTTAGTAAATTGAAGCAAAACAGGAACAGCTTTTTAATCTTGTGCATTAATCTGGTATCAGTGGAAAACAATCAGCTCATCTGTGCGGTGTTGTGGAGCCTGGGAGGATAGCGGAGGGGAAGCAGAAGAGTTCAACACCACACGTGCAGCCATGAGGGATCATGCATCACACCCATCAGATGCATCTATTGCACTCACCGTCCATCAACCATTGTATCCCCCAGGCCGCATCCTCCATGTTGTCAGACATCATCCTGATAAGAGACAGTAAGTTTAATCCAATACCTTGTTTTGGCTAGAGGCAGTTTTAATCTTAATTTTTTTTTTTTTGGCATTTCATAAATTGACATCTTTTCTTCAGCAATATGTTTAAAAACTGTTTGTGATTATTAAGTACAATACAGTTGAGTCCCTAAATCCTATGAACAGGGTTTGATTTTCTCAGGCTTTTTATTTTACTGCTGAGTGACTCTTTGTTTATTTTTCAATTCTCATTATTTTAGGGCTTGGTGCATGACCCCTGAATTGAAAACTAACTATACAGTATCATTGAAAAATTTCCTATTGGTTCCCAGTGCCTGAACCTCTTTCATTTCATCATTCTTTCTCATGAATATCAGTATTAGCCAGATTCGAGCAATATTTATAAAGACATGTCCTTGGAAACACAAAATGAACTCAAATCTGAAACAAGTATTTTTATGTGGACCTCATTTTGTATTATTTATGAATTCTAGATTTGTGGGACCTCTAGGAAAATAACCCACTCAAATTTAGAGTTTTGACTACACTAGAGATTTTATATATCTGTATATTCTATTAATGCAGTAGATGCATTCCATGAATATAAGGCAGCTTTATTAATTTCAGTTAGGTCATCAGTGCTTAAATTTTCATTATATAAATCTTCATCACATTATTTAAGCTGTACTGATAACATAAGGAATTACTGGTAAAAATGGGACATCACATAAATGCAGATTCACATAAAGTGAAAGATTACAAGCATACCTTGATGTGCATAGGACCAGAAAATCCTAATGTCATGAGGCAGCTTTTAATGGGGGTTGTTGAACCCTTAGGGAGTAACCTATTGTATCAAGAATAAAAATTAGTCTCTTTATTAAATAACAAATATATTACAAGTTGTTTAACTCTACCAATATCTGTTCGTCCATGTAACACTCATTACATATATGTAAATAAGTTTACCATGCGTGGGAAATGTGGCAGAAATTCAGTTAGCAACAAGTATAATATATGTACGTGCATAAGTGGAGGGAGGGGGCAAAGGAAGTTTTGTGTGCGAGGGGCTTGGACTTCTAGCATGCATGTGTGAGCATGTTAGATGGAAACGAATGGAGACAAATGGTGTCTAGGACTTGACATGCTGTTGGAGTGGGAGCAAGGTAACATTTATGAAGGGAATTAGGGAAACTGGCAGGCCGGACTCAAGTCCTGGAGATGGGAAGTACAGTGCTTGCACTCTGAAGGAGGGGTGTGAATGTTGCAGTTTTATAACTGTAGTGTGAGCATGCCTCTAGCAAGACAGTGATGGAGTGAATGATGATGAAAGTTTTTCTTTTTTGGGCCACCCTGCCTTGGAGGGGAATGGCCAATGTGTTAATAATGTGTATATAATAAGTGAAAGTAATAAATGATAGAGTGGGAGAGGCACTGTCAAGAAATTTTTTCTAAGAATAAGAAAAAATTTTGGAGTGAAGTAAACAAGTTAAGAAAGCCTAGGGAAAGCATGGATTTGTCAGTTAAAAACAGAGTAGGGGAGTTAGTAGATGGGGAGCTGGATATATTGGTAGATGGCGGGAATATTTTGAGGAACTTTTAAATGTTGATGAAGAAAAGGAGGCAGTAATTTCATGCACTGCCCAGGGAGGTATAACATCTTTTAGGAGTGAAGAAGAGCAGGATGTGTGTGGGGGAGGTGCATAAGGCATTACATAGAATGAAAAAGGGTAAAGCAGCTGGAACTGACTGGCAGAGAGCTTGTATAATTCCATTATATAAAGGGAAAGGGGACAAAAGAGATTGTAAAAATTACAAGAATAAGTTTACTGAGTATACCAGGTAAAGTGTATGGTAGTGTTATCACTGAAAGAATTCGAGGTAAGACAGAGAGCAGGAATGCAAATGAGCTAGGAGGCTTTAGAATAGGTAGACGATGTGTAAATCAGGTGTTTACATCCAAGCATATATGTGAACAATATTTAGATAAAGGTATGGAAGTTTTCATTGCATTTATGGATTTAGTAAAGGCATATGATAGAGTGGCTTAGGGGAGCAGTGTGGCAGATGTTGCAAGGATATGGAATAGGTAGTAAGTTACTAAATGCTGTAAAGAGTTTTTATGAGAATAGTGAGGCTCAAGTTAGGGTGTGTAGGAGAGAGGAAGATTACTTCCTAGTAAAAGTAGGTCTTAGACAGGGATGTGTAATGTCACCATTATGGATGTGTAAAGGTAGAAAGTTTAGAAGTGAACATAGGTAAGAGTAAGGTGATGAGGGTATCAAACGATTTATAGATGGGGTTGTAAAAGAAGTAAATGCTAGAGTGTTGGGGAGAGGGGTGGGGTTAAATTATGGGGAATCAAATACAAAATGGGAGTTGACACAGTTACTTTTTGCTGATGTTACTGTGCTTTTAGGGGATTCTAAAGAAAACCTCCAACGGTTAGCGGACGAGTTTGGAAGGACATGTAAAGGTAGAAAGTTTAAAGTGAACATAGATAAGAGTAAGGTGATGAGGGTATCAAACGATTTAGATAAAGAAAAATTGGATATCACATTGGAGAGAGGGAGTACGGAAGAAGTGAATGTTTTCAGATATTTGGGAGTTGACTTGTTAGCAGATGGGTTTATGAAGGATGAGATTAAACATAGAATTGATGAGGGAAAAAAGGTGAGTGGTGTGTTGAGGTATCTGTGGAGACAAAGAACGTTATCCAGGGAGGCAAAGAAGGGAATGTAGGAAAGTATAGTGGTACCAACACTCTTATATGGGTGTGAAGCATGGGTTGTGAATGCTACAGCGAAGAGACAGTGGAGATGTTGTGTCTAAGGGTAATGTGTGGTGAAAATATTATGCAGAAGATTCATAGTTTTGAAATTAGGAGGTGTGGCATTATTAAAAGTATTAGTCAGAGGGCTGAAGAAGGGTTGTTAACTGGTTTGATCATTTAGAGAGAATGGAACAAAGTAGAATGACTTGGAGAGCATATATATCTGTAGGAAAAGGAAGGCGGGGTAGGGGTCATCCCGGAAAGGTTGGAGGGAGGAAGTAAAGGAGGTTTTGTGGGTGAGGGGCTTGGACTTCCAACAAGCATGCATGGTATGTTAGATAAGAGTGAATGGAGACAAATGGTTTTTGGGACTTGACGAGCTGTTGGAATGTGAGCAGGGTAATATTTTGTGAAGGGATTCAGGGAAACCAGTTAGCCAGACTTGAGTCCTGGAAGTGGGAAGTACACGTACAATGCTTGCACTTTAACCCTTAACCCTTTCAGGGTCCGTCCCGTAGATCTATGGCTTCATGTTGAGTGTCCAAACCTTAGATCTACGCCAAAATTCTAGCGCCGTCAAATTTAGCACGAAAACGCTCATAGGCCTACATGTGAGAGAACAGGTCTGCGTGGTGGGTGTGCGCCATAAACAAAAAATCTAGGCGCCCGCATAGCATTGTGGGAACGCCGGCTCAGTTACCCTTGTTCACCATGCCTCGTCGCAAGTCAGCTCTCACTCCCTGGAAAATTGGGACTCTTCTCTTCCTATCTGATAGTTCTGACACTGATGGAAGTGGAAATGAAGACGAATTCTACGGCTTTGATCAGTTAGTGACCGAAAATAATGACCAGGATATCGATGTAGTGCAGAAAACCCTGACGATCCTCAACCTTCTACCTCTGGTGTGGGCATTCGTGACTCACGGTCGGTTGTTCTCAACGAAAGAGAAAACTATATTTTCGCGTGGCCAGGCCTCTGACTTCAGTAATGTGATGATAGTGACGTGGATTGTGATTTTACTGCGCTCGACGATCATTGGGAGTAGTGATAGTGAGGAATCTTATTCCCCCAGTGAAGTGTCAGTATGTTCGCGCCGCATGCGCTGGGTAGTGTACCCTATGCTGTGCCCAGGGACAGAATACATCCCGGAGTACATCCCGTGGCCCTACACCAGTTTAGGTAGTGATAGTGAGGATGATGTGGCTACACTTGGCATGGATAGACCACAGGCATCAGTGGATGGGGGTAGTGGTGATGGTAGTGGCACCGCCATGCGTGACTCACCAGCCCACACTGGGACCACGCTGCTGACTCGTCAGTTAAAGGACAAAGTGGAGCGTCAGCCACCAGCCCACCACAACCACAACCACCCGCAAACCAGCCTATGATGTCCAGTATCCGCCAGCAAACCGTATGTGGGATTGGCAGCAAAATCCCAATTTTGTTCCCAAGCCTCACCACTTTGATGACTTCAAAGTGAATTCTACCTACTTGCCCCCTTGGAACCAGGGCCCAATGAACTGGAATTCTTTGAATTATTCTTTGACCAGCCATTGATGGAAAACTTTTGTCAGGGAAAGTAATAATTTATTTTGAGTACACCATGGAAAATATGATTTATCACCACAGTCAAGACTACACAGGTGGAAAGAGATGACTGTTGCAGAAATGTATTTGCTTTTGCAACAATAATGCTTATGCCTCATGTGTATAGCATAATATAAAAGCATACTGGTCCACAGATCGGCTTTAATTTCTACCCCGGTCTCGTGAAATCATACAGTGAACAGGTTTATCTTACTCTTACGTATGTTGCACTTCTCTGACAAAAACTAGGCCCGACAGAAGTGACAGGTTATACAAGATTAGAAATGTTTTTATGTATCTCCAACAAAAGTTCAGCATATACTTTTATCCATTCAAGAATCTTGTAATTGAGAGTCTTTGATTTTGTTCGAAGGTGACTGTCATTCAAGCAGTATATACCCAGCAAGAAGGAAACGCTTTGGTATAAAAACTGTTTGTACTCTGTGATGTGACAGTGGCCTGGTGTTGGATATTGTTGTATACATGGGTGTAAAACATTGAAGATACCAAGATGTTATTGGGGATCTCAGGTGACGTAGTGGAAACATGATGGCACCCTTTTCTTGGTAAGGGGCATACATTTTTATACCGATAACTGGTACACAAGCCCATTACTCAGTGATTTCATGCGAGTGAACAAGACAGATGTGTGTGGCACAGTGC